TTTTTTTTTTTTTGGAGAAGCTCTTTTCAGGGCTAGCGTAACGTTCCGACAAAACCTGGTACGCAGCTTTGATGCCGGAGAAGCCTTCGCGAGACAGTGGCCCGGCCCTTGGGATTTGGCGACGTGGGAATAAGCATTCCGTCCCAACATGCCGCGGATACACGACTCGGCCCTGGCGGTAGGCATCAGCAAACTTTGTCAGGAAGCGACCCCACGGTGATTTACACGAGGCCCCTGAAAACGTCACAACCTCGTTGAAACAGAAAACACCGTTTGTCAAAACGCGCGGCGAGGCCCGCAGCTGGCCAAGGGCACTTCTTTCGTCCAAGCCCACCGAGCGAGAAGAGAGTCAGGCAGGCCCTGACACCGTACTGAGTTTTGGCGGTTTAATCCTCCCTTGGAGACGGCAGGTTGGTTCCACGCACTTAGAGAGAAGTATTCTCGATCCTCCTTTGCAATGATTCGCGTTTAAAGGTAGCTCTATGAAACACAGAAAAAGCTCGAACCTGCCTAGATCGTGTCATCGGGGTTGATATTAATAGAATTGGAACTGTTTTCGTCTTACTGGAGGACGTGGGCATGGAGCTTTGACGCTCTTCCTCCGTGTCAAACTTTGAGGCCTATCCTAGAATTCCCCACCTGCCGAGGGCAAGGCTGCTGGGGTTGGCCCGATACCCTTGGTTCAATGGCGAATACTAGCAGGAGGCCACCGGCACGTATCTCGGCTATCTCTTCGCATGGACTGCACGAAACGAAAGGTGCCGGTTGGCCCGCGCTTGAGTTCAATGTTGCTCCTTGTGTTCTGTGCTGAAAGGCGACGGACACCCCACCAACAAACAGGCTGGGATGTGGCTGCAAAAGTGCGGGCCAGCTGTCAGCCACAAGCCAAGGCTGCCCCTCGCACGGCCAAAGCCTTGTTTCAACCATGGATTCTCACTTGCATCACGTTTTCCTTGTAGAGAATGGTCACATCACCACCTGAAGCCACCGTAATCCAAGGTCTCTGTGCGTATGTGTATGGAATTTGTTTGATCGGGTTGCGCCGCCCACGGAGTGTAATTGCACCCAACCCAAGGCGTGAGCGTGTCAGTGTCGCACCTTTTTTTGCCCCTACGACGTGTTGCCCGCAGTTTTGTGCACCACATTGTGCCCTCTCGGATGGCGTGGTGACGCACGCACAACCATGGGCATGCAAGCCGCCGTATTTTATCCCGCTATTCCTCTCGGATGGGGGTGTGCCGTTGTCGGACACGGGGCTCGGCGCAGGACACCGCCACTTTGGGCTCGCTGGGCTTCTTTTTTTCCTTCGCCCCGACGCGAGGAAGCGGGCGCGCGCGGGATTAGACTGGCCCAGTCGATGCGCTGTCTGGCGCCCGTGGATGCCTGGCCTTTGTTCCTGCGTCTGCAGACAACGTGCACAACCCACGGGCCCAGGATTTGCCAGGCACCACCCAGGCAAAGGGCAGCGAAAAAGAAGGCCCCTGGTCGGTCCCCACCGATCTTCGGGCCTTGACGGGGGCTGGTCTAGCCCAAGCAATCAAGGAGAGGAGGGGAAAGAGGCAAAAATGAGAAGTTTTTTTTTTTTTTTTTTGCGTGCACCGGCCGACGGGAGCAAAAGCTAATGGCCGGTGAAAGAAATAGCGATCTCCATATAGATCTCTCCACGTCTTGGCCGTTTGGTTGGTGGCGCAGAAGGTTGAAGACGGGGAGAAAGAAACATTGCGCTTGCGAGCGGCGCAAAGAAGCGTCATCCCTCCCTCCCTTTGTGTCAGTTCCCCAGGCAATGGCCCCCGGATTGAAACCAGGGGCCGGCGCAAAGAGCAGACAAAAAATAAAAAATAAAAATAAAAATGAGCGCAGGTGATTGGACGGCGGCCAGGCACACACGCAAAGCCGGCAGAGAAGGCCTGGGATCAAGCGATTTGTCGCCAATCAAGGTGGTGGCCTCCTGAAACATGGCGGCCAATTGACCATGGGGAAATTGGGCAATCTGTGATCTGATCGCGCCTGATCCATCGGACGGGGTGTCCCCATTTTCCCAAGGCGCCAAAGGCGACATCAATTTAATTCGGCATTTTACCATCAGCACGCACGCCTGGAGCCGAACGGCGGGGAAGGCGGGAATGCCATCATCTGGAATGATTCCATCAAGATTACGCGACCAAAGAAAAGAAACCGCGCAAACCTGGCCGCCCGACGTGCGTATCTTTACCACGGCCATGAAATCCCTCCCCCGCCGTGGCGGTAACACATCATTGTCCTGGACACGAAGCGTAAAGGTTGGCGCGCGACGGACAGCTCGAAGCGCGCAGAGAGGTGGACGAACCGGCGCGAGAAAAAGAGGACACAAAATCACTCGGCGTCCAGGTGCGCTAGACCAAGAAGGGCGATTCTCTAACGCATCACTTCCAAACCAGATCCGCTTTGTGGATAGGAAGGCCCCAGAAAAGGCGCGCTGCTTTGTGCCGAGCCTGTAATTTCCGGGCGAGGTACAGAAGAAGAAGGTTCACGGTACGTTTTGGCTAGCGGCTCTCCGGCGGGTGTCAATGCTCATTTCCCGTGCACGCGCCAAGTAGACGCTACATCCAAACGGAGGCCTTTGGTCTGTGCAGGAAGCGGTGGGTCGGCGCTGAGCATTGCAAGGCGCTCCCAAGGCTCACCGGCTCCCCACCCGCACGCTCCACACCAGCGACAGCGAGTGAAGATCGCACCCACACACGCGAGAGAAAAAAAGCACGCTTCCAAAACAGGCAAGGCGCGCCAGCGCAGGTACCCGGACTAAAAAAGCGCAACGGAGGACGTGTGTGGGTGGGATTGGGGAGGGACGCCACAACTGGGCCGCTGTGCCTGGCGGCAACGTCGCATTGGGGGCCCGTTCTGTGGAACGCGACGGACGTCCAGTGACGACGATTGGGGGAGCCAGGGAGGGACCAGGCCAGGCACGGCAGAGGGTCGACGACAAGGGTCCACGGCTGACGATGAGAGGAGGGCCTTCCCACGGGGCCGCATCCCCACCCGCCCGTCCCTTTGTGTCACTGCCCTGCGCTGCCGGCGCCGCCCACCCACACGTCTTTTTCTTTTAATCTCGGCTGGGGGTCGTCGCATGCGGTCCCCCATCCATCCCATCGTGAGATATTGCTGCACATCCCCCGCTCTCTGTTCCTGACCTGCTTTCTCCCTCCTTTTCTATCACAACCACCACCTCGCTCACTCTTGTCGCCAGTCGCACAACCAGTCCGCACAACCACACACAGGCTTCGTTGGCAAAGTCTACTACCAGTCACCATCGTTTGACCCTGAAGCGCTAGCACTCTCAGGTCGACCTTTATTCTCGCGTTATTTCGAAGCAGCCCTGCGCACGAGCCTAGAGCGTTTGTTGCCCACCGAAAAAAGAGAATCGCTTCTTGACGAACGTAGACCTTCTTTGCGCCGCTTAGGAAAGAAAGAGAACGGGAAATCCAAAAATAGGACAAGGAAAGCACACCGTGGACGACCTCGATCGACAAACAAAGCCACACAGTGACAACAAAAGGACCTCGATATCCTCATTATCGAAGCCCACCCGCGCAACGAAACCGCATCGCATCGTGAACCGCACTCGCTTCAGCTTCAGCTCAGCATCCTCTCGCACAAACGTAAAAATGCACTTCAACACGATACTCGCCGCCCTGGCTCTGCCCCTTCTGGCAGTCAGCGCGCAGTCGTCGGACTCGAGCCAGACCACGACCATGACCTCGACCGCTACCATGACCCGCACCATCAGGATGGAGCGCGTCGTCGCAACCACCACCGTCGGCGGGTACGGCAACTCGACCGCCCTCCTGCCGACGGGCACCGGCAGCGGCACCGGCGTCACCCGCCTGCCGTCCACCACCGCCGGCACCACCGCCTCCCAGTCGCCCATCACGCCCGCCGTCCCCACGGGCAACAGCAGCTCGGGCGCCGCGTCGCTGGGCGCTGCCAACCTGGCCGCCCTCGGCGTCGCCGGCATCGTCGCCGCTGCGCTGCTGTAAGCGCCTCGCGTCGCATACCATCGCATCGCCATTATACCAAGTGCGCGCGCGCATCTTGCACACACAGCGTCTCGCGCGCACACCCACATACCACAACCGTCACTCTCCTTTCTCTGGCGCATCAGCATTTCTTCTGCGGGTTCTTGGTTTTTCACTCACCCCATTCACGACGATGAACGACAATACGACGGCGGCAACCCTCCCGGCCCTAACCAAGCTTTACAAACTTTATTCACTTTTCAACGGTCGGCCTCGCTAGCACTGTGGCGCGTGCCGCCGCCATGAAACAATTATCGGAGCGAGGGGGCGGGGTTATCCTTTTGCATGCCTCGCTCCCTTCATGTCCTCAACATGCCTCCCCTCTTCGCTTTTGACGCAGGGGACTGGAAAGAAAAAGCTCTTTGTCTTGCGCATATTTCTCCTTCGCATTCGACTTTGCATTGACGCCAGACAATGCGTGGCCGGCCCGAACCACACCTCGTTGCTTGGCCACCGTTGTCTTGGTTTTCACTTGTCCATCTCCTTCGTTCTCGCAGCGAGCTTGGCAACGTTCCCCGAAGCCTTGCCCGCCTGGCAGGAACCACATCCTTATTCCTGACCGGCGTTGTTCCCGTTTGACGCCCTTCAACCATAACAAACCCTTTTATCACCCAGATGCGCACCATAAATGGATCGCTGCAACTTTGCCTCTTTTTGGCTCTTTTTCTTCGAACCATCGTGGGATACAACCATCTACCCCCTCCGCCGTTTATTGATACCCCCTTGTCCCATCTCTCCTCCGCCGCCACAACCTCCCCCGGCAAACGCTGCCGCCCCCTCGCCTTCTGGAAGTCGCTTTGCTCTCCTCGCCACTTCCTCGGTTCCAGCGCCGGGAAACGGTTGTCGAGAGGGAAGAAACCTTCTATTCTCCTGTACCCTATTCTCAAATACCTCTTCGCTTCTGCTCTCCGCTTCATCCCTGTCCAATATTCGGGCATTTGTTACGTTCCTATCTTCGATTCTTTGCAATCTAGTTGCTCCTTTTATTTCTTTTGTGGTGAGATACCTGGTTGACTTTTTGTTCGTTGTCGGCTGTCCACTCGGACAGCCGCGTCGTGAACGTCGTCCCTTTGAGGAGGTTCATGTTTTCATTCTCCATAGCAAAATCAGACATTTTTGCGTCTTAACGAAAGCCGTGCCTTATTCCATGCGATTTGATGTGATTGCGCTCGTCATTGAGACGGGCACGCCCACCAAAAAAAAGACGGCAGTCTTACAAGTGGCCCCAAAGATCAAGTGAAATTGTTAGTGCTATAAACTTCCCTGCACTTACTCCTTTTCCTATTATTAGTCACATTATTATTTTTAATTTTTCCTTATTTTTCCTTTTATTTCCAGTTCCGTACCGATTCCTGTTCAACGATCGTTGCCAATGATACCGACA